CAAGATGTTATTAGGTCATGGAATGTTAGTTTGATAGTTAACTTGCTACTTTCAGTGATTTTGTTTCGTTCGGATATATGTACCTAGTTAACTTTTTATTAAATTGGACTAATTATATTAATAGTATTATAAATATACAATATTATTTTTAATTATATCAACAGTCTGACTTATTTAACTCTTTGAACTATGACCCGTTAGCCTTTTTTCATTTGCTTGGTTTTTAAAACATAAAGGTGAGAGAATAGTGAGGATTTAATTAATTGCTAATGGGGCTCATCATCATCATTATCATCATAATCATCATCATCATAATAATAACAACAACAATACAACAACAACAATAATAATAATAATAATAATAATAATACTCCCTCTAGTTCCTTTTATAAAATCTCAAAAATTTGAATTAGTTTGACCTTTTTTATAACATTAAATGTACTTTTACCGTTTTTTTTCTAATTAACTTTTTATTTTTTCTCCTGACTTTTTTTTCCCATGCTACATTGTCTTTTATTATTTATCTTACTATTAATATTCTCCCTCTTACCTGCTCCTTTATTAAATGAGAGCATGCACAGGAAAAATGTTCAATTTTTTACATATCTTTTAACTAACTTCAACTGTTTTCTAACCTGCATAATTCAATTGAAGTATTTTATTCCCCCCCCCCCCAAAAAAAAAAAAAGCAGAGGGAGTCTTTGGACACAACGTTTAATGACATAGAAGATAATAATGATATTGCCTTAAAATTGAGGTGTCATGCATCAGTCAATTTCTTACCGCTTTTGCTTTCAACGCTGTGCTTGCTTCTCTCCTGCCCTCAACTCTATTCCTTCAAATATTTCTGAGACTTTAAAAAATATACAATAAAATTGCCCCGAACGTATAACCTTTGCCCTCAGTCTGTCAGACCACCCTAATATAAAAAGATCCAAGATTTGGCTCTGCATCGCAACGTTCCTTGAGAAGGCGGAAAATGTTCCTTGGAATGGCTACAATGGCTCCTGCATCGCTTCATATATAGTTTTTCCTAACTTCAGGGAAGACACTGTATGCTATTGTTAACTCCTTCCTTCTTCTCTGGCTTCAAATCATCGCTATCTACTCGCCCTACGTACTCATCTTCCAAACCTGAGGAAGTCACTTTCTCTGTTATTTTTTTTCATCTTTCAAATCTTGTAGTCTTTAAGGTTACTTTCTTTTCTTTTTCTTTTCTTTTTTTCGTTTTGGACTTTCAGTGTGATATTTGAAATGGGTTTCTTGCTTCTCTTTTGTTTGTTCTAGTTTAGCTCTGAATAGCACGGTTACTTTAAAGTTACGTTGAATCATTTGTTTGGAAAAATTGAAGTAGAAAATGTTATTAGTTGCAGAAAAAAGAGCAATGGAGAAATCAGGAGGTGGAGGAAGACGAAAAGCCATCAAAATGTGGAATCAGGTGAAGAAGTTGGAAGGGACCGATAAAGTAGAGTGCATACATTGTGGACACAAATTTGCAGCAAGAACTGATCTCATAAAACATCATATTTATCAAGTGAAACTCAAAGGCGTCAAAATATGCTCTAATCCCCCAAAAAACCTGGGTAAGTGACTTCCTCTCTTTATTTACTTATTCTTTTTAGATATTTGAAAAGGGTTTCTTGCTTCTCTTTGGCTTCGAAGCTCCCAAAAGCCAATCTAAGTTGGTTTAGTTTGTTTTGATATATAGATGCGCATAATAAATTCATGTTGAATCTTGATTTGTTGATTACTTTGTTTGGAGAAACTGAGTTAGAAAATTCTTGTTAGATGTAGAAAAAGGAACGATAGAGAAAACAGCTGGAGCTGGGGAAGGCCAAAAGATGACGTGTGGGAACATGTCACGGTATTGAAAGAGAATCGAGTAAGATGCAAACATTGTGGATTTGAGTTTGCAGGAGGTGCTAAACGAATCAGATCTCATATTCTTCAGATTAAGGGGCAAGGCATTCGACCATGCCCCAATAGCGGAAAGATCATCAGGGATCTAAAAGGGAAAGGGCACCTCCTTGCTTCACAAGGTATGAAATAATAATATTATTTTAATTTAAACTATATATATATATATATGAAATAAGAACGATACATACTTGAGTCTGTTTTAGGAGTATTATTGATATTTTGAGGTAGATCGATAATAAAGTATGGTTGTCTCCTTTACATGTATCATAATTAAGCACATCTATCTATATATCTATATATATTATGGTATTTTTTTTTTCATAGTCCAAGTTTATTTGCATGCAAAAGTTTGCCCATAATACTTCCGTGTCATCAACTAAACTTAATTATCACCATGAAATGTGTATTACTTTCTCAAAAGAAGGATGGTGTGTGTGTAACTCTCGTTTATATATAGCAGAGAAGGAATAAGGAAATAATCTCAATAGTCAAAAATTAAAATAAAAAAGGGAGAGAGAAAAGACCTAAGACCCTATAGTAATAATTAACAACAACGGTCAAGACCTAGGTGTGAGAATCTAGGCAAATCAGTTGGGACACGTAAGAGCTAAAAATATCTGACACTGCTTTTTAGCTCTGCAGCATTTTTTAATACAATTTGTTTTTAAGCATCCATCAGGTGGCCAGACATAAACAAAATAAATTCATGTTGATATAATTAACAGCATATAACCTCTCTTTCATATTAATATGACTGATTGGATCTCAACATCAAGCTGTTATTGATTGAGGCATGGGATTAGAAATAAAGTATTTATTTTACTTCTCCATCGTCAGTATATGAGATTAAACACTACTAGTTTGCGGAATTAATTTATCAGAAAACTGAGTGCCAATGTTTTTGGGACTGCGGATTGGGATGACTAGAAATCTACAATATCACTTATAAAAAAAGGCATTCCTCTGTGTTTTTATTATATATTAGGGACTGGAATGATCCATATATGAAGTATGAACTAAGTGAGAGTTAATCTAAATAACCTTGTCACCATGAATTCATAGTTTAGAAGGTTGAATTTGTGTGTTATGCGGAAAACAGGTTCACCAGTATTGGATAGCAAACCACATGAAACGATGGTTGGTCGTTATACGAGGGAAGAGACAAAGGCTGTCCCGCAAGCACATACCCGCACTAAAGATATGCATCAACAGAAGATTAAAGTTGGCCCTTTCTCTGTTTCTAATATGGTGGTGAACGAATCTGACTTACGACTCATAAAATATGTTTTTGAACAGTCGTGGTTAGATTCATATGCTTCAAACTCGTGTTTATGTGTGTTTGTTTATGTTTTTAAAAAGCTTAAATCACTCGTCTTGTATGTTCTTCAGTGAGGAAGTTTTTACTTCACGACGTGTCCAGTTGTTGCAACGTGATTTATTCACACTTAAACCGGGGCAATATTTGGATGCGTGGGTGAGTATTTACTAATACTCTCATGCTATTTTATTATTTCTGAGTATGTTCTTGCGTATGTTAGCGTTTAACTTTCTTTGTTATCCTAGGTAATAGATGTCTTTGCTGATATCTTGGCTCACAAACAAAGAAAGAAGGGAAGGAAGAGAAATAAATCCTTCGATTGGTATCTTCCGTCGATTTTTTCGGTAATTTCTTATTTCTTTTTAATGGGATGATATTCTTGAATCTTAAACAACTTTGTTGACCAGAATATTTAATGGTTCTTTTGTGATGTAATTATAGACCCAAGCATTCACGCAAAGTGAAGCATCCTTCCTTCTCTTTGTTGAAGCGAGCATACGAGATAATTACCTGTTTGGTGACGTGAAACGATGTGGCAAGGTACTTCCTTTTGTCCGTTCCATTTACCTTTTTTTGTTTTTTTGGCCACAAGTTGATCTGATTTGTTTTATAACAAAATTGCAGATATTTATTCCTGTTCATGTTAAAAAAGGAGAAGTTGGACATTTTTATCTTTATGTTATTAACGTGGGTGAAGAGCTAGTTGACATATTCGATTCTCTAAGTAACCAATTTGTGAATGATTCTGAGTGTCATGAAAATACACAAAAATTGGTAAGTATTACAAAGTTATACGCAATATACATGTAAACAATGTATAGTTTGATCTTTTAATCCTTTAGGATTAATCTTTTCCATGTAGTTGCATCTCATGGATGAGCTCTTCCCTAAAAGCGACATGCGGTTCAAAAATTTTAACGCAAGAAGGCGGGCGAACATCCTATTACAGCCTAATGGGTGAGTCTATGATATTTTTTTTTCAGTTTAAATTATAAGCTTTATTAAAACAAATATGAATCTTGACCATATCACATTTCTTCAACATTTAGGTACGACTGTGGTCTGTTTGTTATTAATTATATGCAACAAGTGCCTCATTTTGTGAAGCGAAATCGTGATTTCCAGGTATGGTCATTTGGAAACTGGTTATTGCTCAATGCTCTACGTGCACACACACATGCACATGAATGTATAAACACTAATGATATGAGTAAAACTCAGTTTGACAGTGATAAAGAGAGATTGGATGTGGTTTTCAAGTTGCTAAAGAGTGACTTGAACGAAGAAAAGGAAAAATTGCATGATCAAGCCACAAGGCATTATGCCCAAGTCGGAGCTGAAAAGGACTTGAGTATACGCGGAACTAAAAGAAAGAGGATTGATACCAGCGAACCAAAATCTGAAGATGCTAGAAGAGGTATGTACTTCAATTGAAACTAGTTACAACCTTTTTTTAGTAGTGATTTATTCAAAAATTTAATTTATATATTCTTTCTATCATTGATTGAGGTAAGTAATTGCTATCATCACTTCATATTCGTTTTCAGGATATCTAATAAAATCGATATCAAAACGCATGCAATATATTGAATTTATTCATATTTCATTACTCTCATTTAATTTACAGCACTTGAAATAAATAATTCCTATTTGTAACCTCGTGTTTCTCATTGCTAGAATGCGCCAAAGGTTATATATTGCCAACAACTGATTTAGGGGAAAAGAGGTTCAAAGACATATTCAACAAATATGGGAATGGATAATGAATAATGAGGCGTCAACAATTGGGATATGGGGAATGGGAGGGACAGGAAAAACAGCTTTAGCAACTCTTGTGAATAACAAGCTTTTAGAAGAAGCGGGTGATGACTTTGACCATATTATTTGGGTTACTATGTCACAAAGTGATAATAGAGTTTACCAATTGCAAAAAGCCATTGCAGGATCAATTAATTTGGACATATCAGATGAGTGTGATCTTAAAAGAATATCTGGGAAATTATTGCAGGCATCCAGACACATAAAGAGATGTCTTCTCATTTTAGACAATGTTTGGGATCCTATCTTCCTAGAAGAGGTTGGATTTCCTCTTTCAAATGATGGGATTAAACTAATCTTGACAACTCGTTCCTGGGAAGTGTGTCAAAATATGAATTGCACGAAAAAAACAATAAATATAAAGCCTTTAGATGAAGAAGATAGTTGGGATTTGTTTGAAAAGACTCTTGGAATCCATCAAATACAGTCAAGTAGAGTGGAGCCTATAGCAAGGGCCATGGCAAAACAATGTGAGGGTTTGCCCCTTGCTATTATTACAATAGCAAGAAGTATGAGGGGGAAAGAAGACTACCTGAGGGAATGGAATCACATGTTGGAAGGCATGCTAGAGGATATGGATGAGAGGATATTTTCAGCATTAAAATCAAGCTATGCTTGCTTAAATAATAAATTGCAAAGATTGTTTTTGTACTATGCATTAACAGCCAAGGAAAATGTCAGGGGCAGTGATGTTGAGCTTTTGATTAGGAGATTTTTCTCCATGGGATGGACAGATGAGACAGATAGCTTGGAGATGCAATATGATGAATGTTACACGATGTTGCATAAATTAAAAAATAGCAGCTTGTTGATGGAAAAAAATGGACGGTGGAGAATGCACACCTTGTTTAGAGCCATGGCTATTAATATTACAAAGGAGACTGAGGAAATTATGGTGAAACCAAGTAGGAATTTGGTACAATTACCGGAGAATGGAGGATGGAAAGAAAATCTGCAAAAAGTTTTCCTTACTGAAAGCAATGTACAGAAAATTCTAGATGGCACATCTCCCAAGTGCTCTAGACTCTCCACATTGCTTTTGGATTGCAATTATGATCTTAAATGGATTCCGGATGATTTTTTAAGCAACATGGTTGCTCTTGAAATACTTGATTTGTCTTGGACTGGCATCAAGCGTTTACCTGAATCTTTATCCAACTTGGATTGCCTCGTTGCTTTATTGCTATCTGGATGTACAGAATTGAGTTATGTGCCCTCATTAGCAAAGTTGCAAAGGTTAATAGAGTTGGACCTTTCACTGACTGCCATCACTGAAGCACCTGGTGGTTTGGAGTTGTTGGTCAATTTGAAATGTCTGAATCTAGCTGACACAGAACAGTTGAAAATGTCATCATCAGCAATATCCAAGATGATCAATTTACTCTCTCTTAAGTTGATGAACTGGATCCCAGATTCAATGAATGTGAGTGCACAAGATCTGCAGGGTTTGAGAAAGTTGAAAGTTATGTCAGTCAGCTTTGGTGATACTGGGGAGTTTAATACCTATGTTAAGAGCCTGGACAAAGATCATATGCCCAAAAGCTATTGTCTGAGTTCAGCTAGGCTGTATGATCGTGCTTGCTTTGAGGGTGCACTAGAAGAAAATATGAAAAGGGTTGTTTTATGTGGTATTAGTTTGAGGAACAAAACAGAGCTTCCAGAAGACGTCAAAGAGTTGATTATAAGTGGGTGTGACCGTGGGACAGAGAAAACATGCCTATGCTCTGCTTTATCATTATGTAAAAGTAATGATGATGTGGCTGAAATTGAATGGTTGAACATAAAGCGATGCCGTATGTGGCAGTCCATGGGTTGTGCCTCTCCCGATTGCTTGTTTTGCGGCCCTGTCCAATTGGTAAGACTTTCCCTTGAAGAGGTGGAAGACTTGGAACAAATACTGGCACCATCATCTGCTGCAGTCTTTTATAGCCCATTTCTTTACCTCAGAGATCTCTATATTTCTGGATGCAACAAAATGAAGATTCTGATTACACAGGAATTATTTGGACAGCTCAAAGAACTAGAGACCATTTTTGTTGAATATTGCGAGTCGATGGAAGAAATAGTTGAGGAGAATAGTGGTAGCATTGACCCTAACACTCTTCCTAAAGTGAGACGTGTGGAATTAATTGGTCTACCAGAATTACGTTCCGTATTCAGGGGAACCATGCACTGTCCTTCTCTCAAATATTTTGCCGCCTACCATTGTGAGAAACTAAGCATCCCCCCTCATATAGAGATCGTGCAAGGATATAAGCTTCACATGGAGAAGACCCCAACTAGATACTATTGGAAATGTGATGATCAGGTGAATATCTCCCCCAAAATTTGACTTCCTTTGACTACGTATGCATATCATTTTATATATTATGCATCTGCATATATCAACATTACCGTTGTCCATGTTCGTTTTATTTTTCCGTATTTTAAGTTTACATATCTGTCGTGAGTTTATATCAAATTTTAAATTTGGATTCAAGTGATAACACGTCGTTTTAAAGATGACCCAACTTGAGTGCTTATCCATTTTGAAGTCACTGCCAATAAAAACTCATGCCCTTTTCTAGCTTAAATTCAATTGATCTTTTGAGAGTTTGGGTGTGTGTGTGTGTATTATGCTGGTTATATCAAGTAGAACTTCATACAAATATTCACTATACCAAGCCAGTTTGTCTCACATACAGCTTGATGTTACTATCTTGTACAGTGTTCAAATTGTGCATGACTGCAATTTAGGTTCTTCTGAAAACTCAAGATATGAGTGCCACAATCAAATGTTTATGTGTCTGAAGCTTGGCAAGATTTTCATTCTCTTTGTGGTTTTGGAGGGTTAGATGATTCCTTGGTGAAATTTATGCTTGAGACATTGGTGCATTCAAAAGATGAGAGAAATTAATATGAAAGAGAAAATTCATTTGTTCAGATATTTTTATGATTTTTATTCAAGGAAGACAAAATTTGGGGCGGGGCGGGGCGGGGCGGGGCTCAACTTGGCAAAACAAGGAGTTTGTTTGGAGCTCCATTTAAAACCTAAATTTTCGCTTTGATGGTTACCCTTAAAAGTTATTGATTGCGGTGTTTGAAGTTTGCTTTTTTTTATATTTTTTGAATTAATATAATCTTTGGTCCCTCAAGTTTGCTCTCATTTTGATTTTAATTTCTCAATTTTTAAATTATAGGTTTTGGCCCCTCAAGGACCAAAATGATTCAAGTTTCATAAAAATAAACTTGAGAGACCAAAATCTATATTTTGATACTTGAAAGACTAAAACCAAAATAAGAGCAAACTTAAAGAGCTAAAGTTTGTATTAGCCCTTGTTTAAGGTAAAATGAAGTTTTCTCTTTAGATCCTTGAATTTGTTAAAATTATTATGTTGACTATGTTATTTATATATGCTTCTATGGTTTTCATAGCAATAATTTCAAATGAATATGTGGTCTATTTCTTTGGGTTTTGGCGTTAGTTTTCAATATTAATCCTGTGTGCTTCTATGTCTCAATCAACACAACTAAGCTACTCTGAACCTTGGTAATAAATCCATTCCTAAAGTCACTTGAATCCTGAATTAAACATGGGATGTTATACACAGATTAGTTTTAGTATATACAAGCCTTTCATGCTTTTAAGTAATGGGCTGGAAATATGCTGACTGCCGAAGTCCTAACCAGATATAGTGGAGGTCATTTTGTCAACGTAATTGTTCTTTTCTATTTGATATAGTTGTGACCAGGGTTTAAATAAAATTGATCTATATTCAGGAAGAGGAGGATAATGAGGAAGAGGAAGACGATGAAGAAGAGGAAGAGGAAGAGGAATAGGATGAAGAAGAGAAAGAGGAAAAGGAAGAGGATGACGAGGTCCAACTTATAGAAAATTGTGGTTAAAAGCCGTTCTCGGATTCCATTTTTGGCAATGGATGGAAGGCTCTTTCGTTTCATGGCTCTTGTTCTATAGGACCATCCCCTACCTCACATTACATTAAGGATTCCATCTAGATTTTTGTCTTTACAATTACTCTGTTTTTGCCTTTGTTTCACCATGCTGTTTGGGTCTAAGTCTAACACTTCATTTTTGAGATGATCAAAGTTGACAGTTCCTTGATTAAAGTTACGTCATTAGTGGTTAACGCATTCAGAAAATGATTGATTTATTACTTTTGCTGTTTATGCTTCTTTGGTTTTCAGATTTATGTCTGATCCAAAATTATGGGGGAAAATCAGTCAGTGTCTTTCTTTAATTTCTGTTTTCATTTTCTTCTTCCAAAAGGCTTTTGTCTTTAAATTTGAATATCAATTTTTCATTCTTTAGTTGTTATTTTTGATATTAGCATGGATGAGAATTTACTAAGGAAGCATATTAAACAAAGACAGTCTGTGAGGTGCCAGATGAATGATCTCCTGCGAAAGTCTTGTCAGGAAATGAGCCACTCATGGAAAAATTTGCAGTGTCCTTTACGAGCTAAGTTGGCCAGACTAAGCAGTTTCAAAATCAAGAAGTCGTTACAAAGTTCTAAAGCAAGGGAAGTGCTTCCTAACCTGATTGCATGTGTGCTTCTCAGCAATCTGGGAGCATCTATAACGGAAGAAACGAAGGATACCCTTGTGGCAGTGTATGGCCAGAAGCATAAAACTGGCGGCTTACAGTCATATGCGTTCATGGCTTTAGCTGTTGGTGAAATTTTAATAATTTCAGGTATATAGTTAAAACCCATGACTTATGCAATTTTTATGCGTTTTAATCAATATTTTTCTCTCACATTTCCATATGTTTGAAATCCCATACCTGTTTTGTTGCCGACGAGGAACAATGTGGGATTGGGGGAAGGGATTTTTGTTTTTCAATGCACAGTGGAGTTTGGATTGCAAGAACAGTGATGGACTCTGCATTGAGAAGTTTGAGAGAAAATCACTGAATCTCACTTCCTTTCATCTCTCTCTTCTTTTGCTTATATGTTTTGCTTTGTTCCCTTCTTCGTTCTTCCCTCTCCATGATTCTGGAAAATTTTCTTGTATTGCTTGGTCTTTTTGGTTATTTAATTTTTTATGTAAATTAATTTTTTGAATTCTTTCAATGCACATGGCTGGTTTCATTTTTTGCATGGAAGTCCAATGTTTTCCAGCTTTCCAGTATAAAAAGGGAGGGAATATGGTCCAAGAAAGAGGAAATATGAGGTAGTCAACACCAAGTATGAGTTGATGATGAGGTGCAGTATCAAGTACCATGTGGGAGTACCACATGGCTTTAACGGTCAAAATTAACGTTTGCTTATAGACAGGATGGCATTGTTACGTTTTAACAATTTTCGGGGCGATATTACTCCTAAAAAAATTTTCAAATACCCACAGCTCCTGAACAAATACTCCGGGATAAAATTGGACTTATTCCCTTAAAATGTCCTAACTTCCCAAATATATATATATATATATATATATATATATATATCGGGTAGAATCCAATGCTCTTTAGCCTCCAAGACTTTGTAAACCAATTTTGAATACAAAATACTTTGCTTGGTCCGCAACATAAGATCTAGTTGAGAGAGTAGCTTTCGTCATAAATATAAGATATTAATATACTTTGTTTTCCAAATTTATAATGTTTTCTTTAAAATATTCCTATTGCTTATAAAAGATTCCACCAAGGGATAAATTCTATGTGCATAATTAAATAGGATAATTTGGGAAAGTTAACATATATTCATTACAAATAAATAATTTAATTAATCTAAATTAACAACATTCTATCTTTATAACACACTTGCAATAAAGGAGGAAAATTTAATATAAAAACTAATTCACCACTGCTTACTTGATTGATTTTTCGATTTGCAATGGTATCTGCCAAGTTTCTCTCATTCAGAGTTCTTAGGCAATACGGGAATGATACAAATTTTCATCTCTCTAGATTTTTAATGAAAGGGGCATTAAAGTTATTTCATAAAATTTTAAAATTCTTTTTTGGGTCATATGACCTTATTAGAAACTTGACAAATTTAACAGCTCAAATAATAATGAGTTATTAAAGGGTCTTTTTAAGGGATTTTTCCTAATAATAAAGGAAAGTTAATAAATATTGGGTTAATACAATTTTTGGTTCTTTAAACTTGCCTTCATTTTAATTTTGATTTTTAAAGTTTCAAATTATGAGTTTTAGTCCTTTAAGTTTCTTTATGTCTAATATATTAGCTTTTATAATTTAATAAAAACTTGAATCATTTTGCTTCTTAAAAGTCTAAAACATATTATTTAAAATTTGAGAGACTAAAATTAAAATAAGTGTAAATTTAATAGACCAAATTATTTTTGCCAAAATAAATAAAAATTAATATAAAAATCTTATAATTTTTCCTTATTTTTTAATTAAGTTCTTATGGCTTTGTTATTAAATCCTTGTTGTTTCTTTAATAATAAGTATTGATATTTATACTCAAAATAATTTTTTCAATATAGTCTTCCCAACTCACTTTGAACTTCAAACTAATATCTATCAAACCAAAAACGTTAAAGTTAAAACATCCCACAAATGTGTTTCTTGAACTTGAATTTATGTTAATTTGTAAGAGAAATGGCAATGGCTCTCACCTTATCAAGATAAAGATTATATATGGATGCAAAGAGGCTGTTGTTAGCATAATAATTTTTTATTTTTATCTTGATAATAGATAATAGATTAAATTTTATTCCATCATTTTATTTTCAAAAATATCTTTTTCTTTTTTTTTGGTGAAGAAACTGGGTAATGGGGTGCAACACAATAGGATACAATCCAATAATGATTACCATCGGTATGTTTGGGTTGTTATTAACAAGATGTGCATAAATTATTTTTCATATTTAATCCGAATTATAAAAGGTCCAAAATGCCCATAAACTCTCAATTCCCAATCATCTTCCTCAACCAAAACACCAGCATTAATACAAAATCCAAATAAGAATCAGCATGTTTAAAAAAAAAAATCTTAAGCAAATCATGAGCACAACGAATTAAAAGGGAAGAAATATGTGAGTCAAGTTTTAAACATGGTTTCAAATCTTACAGAGGGAACAAAATACAAAACCAAGATCTAAACCATAGAAGCATGAAAATCTCATGTTTGCCACTACAAATATTGATTTGAACATTTGCAGGAAAATAGATTTAGAGGAAGACATTCATAGAAAACAGATATGAAAGTAAGGCATTCATAGCTTCAAATGTTGATGGCAAAGGATGAAAATGATGATAACGAAGGGAGGGAGAAAAAAGAGAAGGGCTTGTCACTGGGGAAAAAATAGAGAGAATGGAAGGGAAAAAATGTTGATTCTGGTTGATGGGGCTAATGGTGCCATGGGGGTGGCTGTCAATAATAGAGGTGGAGAGAGGAGACAATGAGAACAAACACAAGGGTAAATTAGACTTTTTGGATCATGCAATAAACGGTAATGGGAATTCATAGGGGAGAAGGTATGAATGGGCATTACCAATTTTTTGGTAATAATCATTACCATTGCAAACCCAATTACTAAACTAAAGAGCAACCAAACAAAATTTTTTTAGTAATGCAATTTTAATGACCATTGCAATCTTGCAATGGGATTGAACCAAACAGGCGCTTAATTTTTCACGAAGGGGACAGACATTTTGTGAGTATTGTAACACCCCGAATTTTCTGATTCAGAACGAGCAGAAAAAAGAAAATTCATTAAAATTATTTAATAGCTCAATCACAAGTGGGGAAAATTATGGAATATTGATTTTTAAGGTTTAGAAATATTTTGAAAAAGTTCATTCCCCAAAAAGTGGCTTAAATGATTTTAAAGCTATTTTCATAGCAAAATGGGTTATTTTCTTAGAAAATACTTAGAAGTTTCTAATTAACTAGAAAATTTTAGGGAAATTATCTTATGAGGTAGAGAAGTTATTTGAGGCATAAAATCCTTAAAATGGGTTAAGATTAATTTCTGGATTTAAGGGCTATTTTCTTCCAAAATTCAAGAAAAATAGGTAGGAGATGATTTTTTACCCGAACTTTTTATAGACATTATTTCATGGGTCAAAGAAGCTAATGGATGAGAAAGATCCATATAAAACATGGGGGAAATAGAGAAAGGGATGAAATTGGAACAAGGGGAGGAAATGAAGGGGCATAGCGGTCATTGAGCTACACCGTTTCCCTCTCACGTGCCACTTCCCTTTTAACCATCAGATCAGTTATCCACCTCCTTCAATTCATTTCTGCTTTCTGTAGGGAATAGAGAGAGAGCGCAAGGAGAGTTAAGAGACACAGAGACGGCGATGGAGGAGGACGAAGGCAAAGGTCGTGATCGGAGGTGCTTGGGTCACATGCAAACCGATTAACTTTGCAAGGTGAACCTCCTGATCAATCTTCCGTCTTTTTCTTTTCTGTTTTCAGTGTATTCTAGCTGCAATGGAGGAGAGAGAGAGATGAGGTAGTGAGAGAAAGTGAAGAAACGAACAGGAGGACCGATGGGTTCGTGTCCTATAGCTAGATTGAGGTATTTGGTGCTGGTTTTTGAGCTTGCGTGTTGCCGTTGTCTCTGTTTCCTGAATTCCCGAACAGGGATGGGTTATGGTCACTGGTTTGAGATGAGAATGGGTTGATGATTATGGAGTATGGTTAATGGCTTGCATGTGAATTCCTTGCTCTGTTTTGTGTCGGCTGAAAGCAGGGGTGATAGTCGCTGGTTTAGGATGATAATGAGTTAAGTTAATGGAGTGAGTATATTGTATCGCATGTTGCTTATCTACTCTGCATGTTAAATTCGAATCATTACAGTTGTTGTTTTGGCTTTGGGTGGCGTCAGGTTCTGGGGGAATTAAATGGAAAATTTCAATATACATATAAATATATATGTATATATGAGATTGTGTGTGAAATGGGTTTGCGAAGTGATGAATTTCGAACCTAAGCTCTGTTTTAATTAAGTAGTATGGAGTTCCCTGTTTTGGCTGTATAGTGTTGGGTTTATGGTAACAAAAGTGAGGGAAGTTTAGATATTATGCACAAGAGCTTTAGATGGTGCTGTGTGTGTGTACCCACATATAACCATGCTTGCTATTCGAATTGAGATTTGTTGATGTTGGGGAAGTGTATGAGTGGTTTCGATTTATAGTACCAGAAAGAGCAAAACATGTTTTAGATAAATGTGATACATATATATAATTATGTATATGTGCGTCTCGGTCATGTTTGTAGGAACTGAATTTGTATAGTTAAATGGTTTTGGGATATGGAAGTAGAAAAATTTTAGTTTGAGGAAAATTTCCAGATTTGAAGTAGAAGCATTCAAAAGTTGACTTTGATATTGACGTAGGTATGAAATAATTTTCAGAATTAAGGAGAAGAGAAGGGTCCTTGTGTACTAAGATGGTGGTTAATGTAAGAAATTGCTAAGTAGGAGGAATGGAAGAGATTGTATTGAATTAAGAGTAGAGGAAATTGAATGATAAGATTATTGTTAATTATTGGAAAAGCATGTGGAAAGTTCATACATTGAAATTTTGGGGCTTGACCGAAGGATTTACGAATTGCACTTAAATATGAGAAGTAGTTGGGGTTGATTGAATATAATGAAATTTTAGGGATTTAATGATTGAGTTTTAGAATTTATTTTGAAAATTGTTTGAGAAATGTTAATCCTGAAGCTATAAATGCTTTATTGTTTGAGGTCTGCACATAGAATAAATAGTGACCGTTATAGTTGAAGACGGACTATATTAAGTTTTAAAGAATAGTCTTGAAGTCAGGAATAATTCCCACATTATAAAAGGTTATTGGAGGAATATTAGGCCAAAGATTAAGAAGATTAATAGATGGTTTGAAATTGAAATTGCTTGGCTTGGAAATAAGATGAAATCAATTGGTCAGTCTCAGCCATGAGTGAAAATTAGTGAAGTTGGATTTTAATTAATTTTACTTTATTGGGATTGGATGATTGAGGTATGAAGGGCACCTTGTTGTCCTTAAAAGTGATATATATATATATATATATATATATGTAAAATCTTTGATCGAGATGAGCAATTACTAAGTAAAGTAACACTATGGGTTGAGATAAGGGAGGAAGCGTTCCAAAGAGAATGGTTTAAACAAGAAAAATTGTCCAGATAACCAGCTACTACAAAAGGGTAGAGATTAAAGAAGATTTGAGATTTAAAGAGTTACTTAATTTATGAGATACAGTTGGATTAAGTATTGATCTACCTTTACCAATATGATAGGTTTATATATCTGCTCAAGCCCACCAAGAAGCAAAAAGAAAGGAGAACGGTAAGGTTTGATTTGGAGGGAAGCGGACCAGGTAATAGTTCTTTCCTACCTTACACTTGTGTATGATTGTTGCATGTCTATTTGTGCCATATTGCTTTTCTAAAGCATGAGAACATGTAATCCTTAATTCCTTACATGGATTATTTAGCCGTGATCACGTGTAGCTGATAGACATGGGGCAGTATCTGCCAATTATTTGCACATTATTTATTCAGCTTGTCTATCTGTCATTGCGCATAAATGCTTAATTGTATTAGCTTGCAAGGTTATGTTCCACTTTGGCTTGTTTTGCATGCTTTATGTAATCTGCACATTTGTTTGATGAAAATTACTATTACGGGGATTCTTTAGAATCTCATCCCCCCATTTATGATGAACAGTGAAGGCTAGTAGCTCGAAGGATAAGGAGGTTGTTTGAGAAGAAGGTGAGCTGGTTGAAGAACAGAGATAGCTGTTATATTTTGTAAATATGTAGCAAAATATCTTAATAAGTTTATACTTATTTTATTATATATGTTATATGGGCAAGTAACTTTACTTGCTCTATGGAAATATTATTTTGTATTCTCTATAAGAAGGTGAGCACTGCCGGGTGCACGTATATACTGTCAACCAAGAGCGTTGCTCTATTTTTAATGTAATATTATAAGATTGTATAGTATGAAATTATTTTTAGGTGATAATAGATTAAATTGAAAGCAGGGTTGATTGTAGATCACTCTTTAATTATTCTAAAGGTTTGAAATTTTTGATTGATGATTTCTAATGTTGAAAGGAAAAAAAAATTCCTTGTGTTTTTCCCAGGTTGGAAACCTGGCGTTAGTGATTCACAGACGTTAAAATGATCCTATTAGTATATATAAAAGCAAGGTGTTGCAAGTATAATGTTTATTGTTAATTACATGCGTCTTGTTGGAGATGATAAGCTACACTATAATTAAAAGACACAAGTTGGAAGACATCAAGTACAAGTTCTATTTATCCTTAAATTCCACTTTGCCGTTGGCAAAAAAAAAAAAACACATTGGCGTTTGCCCTTCAAGTTTAATTGGTAATTAAACTACTGATAAATAATTGGAAGCATAAAGATTAAAGATTTGCCCATGTGTGAAGAGACAAGCTTGAGGGATTGGGGAAAAAAATACTAAAATCAATAGAGGGAAAATTGCAATTGGTGAACTTGGCAGACCAAAGCCTTAAAAAACTAGAAACAAGAAGCCGTTGAAGTCTTAGTTGTTTGTTGTGTATATTGTTATATTAGATAAATACTTGGTAATTTATAAAATGATAAAAGTTACGTCAAATTACTTATATTTTTTGGATCAAATTCATAGATGAATTTATAAGTACACATGTGTATTTTAACAAGTACATATACTTTTTCTCAAGTTCTTTTGGACTTGAAATTAATTTTTATGGAGTTGGGAGCTTCAAAGTTAAAGCCCCCTAACACGTGCGGTTCTTGAAATTCGAATTCGTATTCTCTTCTATAGGAGGGTGAGACTACTTATCATCTCAACCAACAATATTGATAAGTATATCTTTTTATTTTGCGGGAACCCTCCTATAAAAAAAATTATATTAGAGTCAAGATTATTGGCGTGACGCAATGTATTCTCAAAATTGTTTTTTTTAATGATCCTATTTATATTTTGTATGTTATAAACTTATAATTTCACTAAGTTTTTATAAGATATTATATAATGAATGGAATTTTGTTACTTTATTATAAACTTAAAATCCCTAAAAAAGAGCTCCGTATTCTTATTAAAATTCAACTTTATTTTTAGTTTTTCTCCCTTTACTTCGGTTATCGACATTGGATGCTGCTAAAAGGAAGAAGGGAGAATAAAATGGGACCAAACTGAATCTAATCATATCTCTTATAATCCTCCTAGAATAATCATAAAAATAAATAAAACCTATGATGACAAGAAGTTTGAAATACTACCTCCGGTCCTAATTATAAAACCCAGTTGACTAATTTGAGGAGATTAAGGAAAGAAGTTAAGTTAGTTATTTGTAATAAATATGTATTGTTTTTCCTAAAATATCCTTACTAATCAACTATATTGGCTAGGACTACAATTATTAGAAGGACTATCTTGGAAAAAATGCATAAATATGAGAGATAAAGTGGATTGAGGTCTTATATTTAAGACCAAAATAAAAGTCAAACAGGGTCTTATATTAAGGACCGGAGGTAGCAGTAGCCAACGTAGTCACAGTTCCTTGGAAAATCCGACAAAATTGGAACGATACAAACAAAAATAGTAGTCTCACAGCTCGGTTAACAAATAAGTGATTAGGCTGCTTTTGGGTTTGGACCGGAGGGTGGCGGCAGGCCTATGTATTATACTCTCCAACACAATTAAATTTGAGTTTCTGGGGTGGCTATCGCAATTTAGTGTACTCATTACTGCATTATATGCCTAAAACAGGGTTAGGCAAACCAAATGAAAGAATGCTGGATTGTTACATGTCCCCCAAACAAATGTGGAAAGCGATAAAGGCTCTTGAAAACCGTTGCAAATTCAAAAAAACCGCTGCAAATTAAGTACTTCACTATAACGTCTAGATGAAATTTGTAGCGGTTCTGACATGCGTTTGCAGCAGCTTGCCAGTTTCTGACAACCGTTGCAAAATTTTGTCGCAGGTTTGACCAAGTTTGCAGCAGTTTTTTATGACTGCTACAAAGTAATTTTGCCATACCTATTTTAGGAACGATTCTAAAAACCACTACAAACGTATTAGTAGTGGTTAAAACCACTACAAACGCATAAAAATAACTGTTGCAAAACACTGTTTTTTTTGTAGTGATAATAAATTTTTTTATTGTCTTAATTGTATTTATTAGGTTAAAATCTTGCCTCTTAAAAAGGGGGCAAAAGCAAATTGAAGACCTAGAGTACTTGGATCAATTTAGGCAATTCGGTGGAAAAATTTCGTCCAACTTGATCTCGAGTTGAAACTCAAACTAAACTGGACAATGGGTTATCTGGTATAGCTTAAGGTCTTTTCCACGCTAGACTTTGGGTTGATGACTAACTTGTTTGATTTTAATCTATATACAACCCTAAAATAATAATTTTAAATATTCAAGGTTGTTGGAAACTAAAAGAGATTTACAAATTTTGTGCTAAGGCACAATTTCCTTCTTCATTCTTCAGAAAATAAATTTGTTGGGCTTAATTGTCATGAACTCTCTTTCCTAATACCAAAACGTCATTTTTGGAATACAACTAACCAAACAAAATACTGTAGCTTCTTCTAACTAAGAGATGCAGCAATAGAAGCAAAATCCCAACAATAGCTTCTTCTTTCGATTAACAAAAAAAAAAAAAAGCTTCATCATGTATGGAGTAAATTATTACTCCTCCGGTCCTTAATATAAGATCCAATTATTGAGTTGGTTTTGGTCCTAAATATAAGACCCATTTATCATATTTATCAATTTTCTCTAAATTACCCATATGGATACCCCCTAATCATAGTCAAGTAGAAGAGAAAGATGAGGTATTAAGAAAGATGATTATGGTGTTTTAGGAAAAATGTGTCACTTTTCTTATCATTAACTAACTTACCTAACTTTCTTAATCTAATCAAATTAGTTAAATGGGTCTTATATTAAGGACCCGAGGAGTATTTTTTAAAGTCGCAATTGATTAAGCAAAGAAGAAAAGCAACACACAAAGTTCTGAAGGATGACGATAACTGATTAGACTTTGTATTAGGTGACTACATTACATAAGGTATTGCACACCAATTTGCAAACCTAAAGGAAGGTGCAGGACGTTTATACATATTATTTTGATGCGTAAGAGTAAATTAGTTTGTGTTGGCGGAAAAAAAAACAAAGAAAGTTTTTGAACAAAATTGATTAGAACACATAATTGGGATGTTTAATCTTTGAATGAGTTAATCACAAATTTTGTGTGATATGAGAAAATTGGATGACTACGATTTTATTAGTACGGTATTAAAAAGATCAAATCACATTATCACCATATGAAAAGAGTGCAATTTCATTGTGTAATTGAAAAAAAATTAAATTTTCCCCAAAAAATGTAATGTTTTATGAAATTGAGTTTTTATTGACAAATAACCAACTCACGGATGAGGAATAAGCGGTTGAAATTAGTTTAAAGTAATAAATATATTAAAAATACAGTTTTGTTTTTAAATATGTTTTTATAATAAATAAAAAGAATGAATGAGGAGATGTTAAAGGAGGATATGACAAGAGAAAAGAATAAATAATTAAGAACAAAATTAAAAAATATATTAAATAGTTAGACAAACTTTAAAATGAAGCTTATAAAATAAATCACAGCTCTCTTCAAACATGAAATTTATAAATAAGATCAGAAAGAGTATTATAAAATTTCTAGTCATAATGATTAACAATAAATATTTAAAAATTTTCTTTTTTTTTCCTCAGTGAAAATTATTGAAAAAATTGACTTGCTCATCAACATTATATTGAGCTTTATCAATCACATAGCAGGAAATTCCGACTCTTCCTCATAATTTTCATTTTTTAAAGTAAATTTCTCATGATATATTTTGTTGTTTTCTAGGACATAGTTTAGATTTCTTTTGCTTTAATATTTTGTAAACTTTAAAAACTTGGAAAAATTATAAAAAAGGATTTTAGAAATTAAAAAATTGGGTACAAGGACCCATTCACAAAATCATTATTATTTGTTTATCTATTATTGTCAAAACCAAGATTAATATTGTAATAGGTCCTTATTTATATATTTTTTTTGAAGGTTTTTTTTCCCAATATTTCTTTAAAGCTTTATGTGTGCATATAATATATATATGTGTGTATTCCTGCAGTTCTAAATATGATCCTATATATAAGACCTATTTTATAATGTAATTTAAATTACAAAATGGATCTTATATTTAAAATCGGATGGGGTAAATTATATCATTTTGCCTTTTATAAAAAAAAAATTAAAAAGAGTAAAGCCCATAGACCAATTCATCGTCTTCCCCTCAGTTGGGCGGGAATCAGTAACCGGAAGGAGAAGGAGCATAGAAAAACCATTGACACAGAGAGAGGTAGACGATCCAATGGCTGTGGACACGAATCTCGCGGTGTTGTTCGACAATTTGAAGGTGGAAGATCCGTTGATCCCTCCAAAGACTTGGGAATCTATCCCTTCTGAAAGTGGGCTTCACTCTCATTCCGATGCTTCAACTTCCTCTTCGAATCAACCTCTCTATGACCTCTCCACTGTCTCTGTAAGTTTACTCCACCGACTCGCTCAACTGACATTGCAACTTTTGTGGGGTTTCCTTCCTCTCGGAAAGAATCATTTTGAGGGTCACTGGGTCTTGAAAGTGTGAGAAATTTAGTCTAGCATGCTGCATTTTTTCCTCCAATTCCAGCAGCTTGTGTAAGAACCTATGTCATGTACATCTGTGGGCATCCTGACTCAGTTAAGAGCCAAGCTGGGCTTCGTAACTCTTAAGAAGTACCTGAATTTTTAATAGTCAGATGGCAAGCAACTTGGTTTGCGTGGCTAGGTTTACATTGCACTTTCAAAGTAGATAAAGGTAGTAGAAAATGTCAGTCATTAATTTGGTTAGTTGTGTTACACCGAAACAATATGGTGAATGTTCAATGCCCATTAAGCCTTGACCACTGGGAAATTGTGGCTCTTTGGTGCAGAGCTAGCAAATTGACTTGTAATCCAAATACTCTTTGTGAAAGGTTTAGACTACCTTGTCACTCGGAGTCTTTT